GGGTCCCTGGTGGAGGGGGGAAGGGGACGTCTTTGCAGGGCCGGGTGGGAGCTGTGGAGCAAGAGGGGCAACAACAGAGCCCCTGGGGCAGAACTCAGGGAAGCCCTGGGTGATGTGTGATCCAGAGATGCATTTGGCCTTGTGGAGCTTTGTTTATCTGTTAATGAGAGGAAGAATATTTACCCATGGAAACAGAAGTCCCAAATGAGGAGAGGCCAACCTTCCTGTCCTCCAGGCTCACGGCAAACCCCAACCCACAGGGCAGGCCCCTCGGGACTGGGGAGAGGAGGGTGAGGGACATGGTGTAAAACCCGCCATAGGGAGGGAACCCACACTCCAGCCCGCTGCCTGGTGCCAAGTTAGTTCAGGATGTGGGAGCCGAAGGAGAAGGACACAGTGCAAATTTTAAATGGAAGTGTTTTCTTAACTGGGGCACATTCTTCTCTCTCCTTTGCGTAAACCCCAGATTTTTAAGGCCAACAATTTGGGTGGTAGTGAAGCTATAAAATATCCAGAGTGCTTATGTTTCGTTGTGCCAGCAAAGGGGGATCAGTAGCATTGCACTGGACAGGTCTGCAGTCAGGGACCTCTCCAAATTACTGAGGAGTAATGATGGCAGTTTGAGGACTAAGGTGCATCTGATTCACCTCATGGTCTTTCTGATCACATGCTTTGCATCTGAGAGTTGGACAGTGAATAAGGATGACAGAAGAACTGATACCTTTGAGCTCTGTTGTTGGAGAGGAGCACTGACCATCCCATGGACCTCCAAGAGAACACACACCTCTCAGAGAAGGTGCAGCCAGAGTGCTCCTTGGAGGCAAAGATGCTGAAATTTCGTCTCACACACTTCAGGCACATTGCTGGGAGGGGCTTTTCCTTGGAGAGGGATGTGATGCTTGGAAAGACAGAGGGTCGGGTCGGCAAAGGAGAGGACGACTCTCAACCAGGTCTCCTGACCCAGTGACTGTGACAGTGGGCTCTAGTGTGTCTGGAAGTGTTAGGATGGGACAGGATGGGACAGGGTTCAGATCTGATGTTCATTATGTGTCGGACTGGACTCAATGGCACCTAAAACAACAACAAGATTTCAGAAGTGCCTGGGAGGAACCTTACCAGGGATGAGTTACTGCCTATGGATTAAATGGCTCCAAAAATAGAAATGTTCCTGGTCCATTATGCACTAACAATTATTTCCCAATAAATGACAACCTTGAACTGTCCCATTGACAAGGGAGTGCTCTCTCTGCCGGTTTCTGCAGGGCGAGCTGGTGGTGAAGTCGACAGAGAAGCGTGTGCTGAGTGTCTCTCCAGCGGCGCATTGCAATCATATAATTTACTGCTCTCTGTTAATTTTGACACGGAAACTATAACAGCATGGAAAAGTGGCTGTTCTCTCAGAAAGCTACATCATGTAATTTCTATTAGGAGGCTGAACATGAATTGGTTATGCTTTTACCTTAAAATGGAGGCTGGTTTTTTCTTTTCCCATTTGCTGATCTAATGAAAAGTGACAGGAAACATAATTAAGGCAAATAACAGAATCTGCAAATACATTATCTTGAAAAGTTCCGTGGCATTAACTTCGCTCATTAAGGAAGACATTGTGCACCTGCAGAGCATCCTGAATGAAGAGACAGGGGTGCACTTTTCAGCGAGGATCACGTCTGTGCCCATTGTACGTATTTTGCGTTCTGGGACACTTAGGTACAGGCCACCCGAGTTCAAGGACGCTGCCACTGTTGTGCCATTGAGTGTGTTCTGACTCCTGCCGGCCCTGTGGGTATCTGCACTGTCACTGCTCTGCCTAGCGCACTGCTGTGGTCACATGACAGTAGTCTGCCAGAGGGGCCCCCTCTTTCTCGCTGACCCTGTCTTAGCAAGAGTGTTGGCCTGCCCCAAGGATGGTCCCTTCTGATATCATGTCTAAAGTGCATGAGGTGAGGCCTCACCACCCTTTTTTTGCAGCAACATTCTGGCTAAATATCTCCCACATCAGAAGTTTGCTCTGGAACGGGGTCCTACTATGCCAGTACCTTGTCCTGGGCCCACAGCAGCACACTCGGGCCAGTCGCACTCCTGAAGCACCTTGTCTGTGGGCTTCAGTTGAGTCCGAGTGGATCTGTCTGCTACTCTGTGGCCCCTTCTCAGGTGGGCTTGGCCTTCCTTGGGTCAGGAGAAGGCAGGAGAAGGTGGTCTTCTGTCTTACTTGGAAACCCACCAGAGAGGCAAGCAGGGCATCCAGCTAGACTTGAGCCTCCCAAGGTCCACCCTGTGCAGGAAGGCCACCAGGCATCTGTCAGGTGTTGGCCCTGACCACAGGCACCTTCGGAGCCCATAGTGTGTCTTTCTACACAACATAGAACCTGCAGACGCCGAGACGCAGAGCCCGGGCGTGCCACCCTCCACGCTGTGCCGGGCTCCCCATGTTCAATGAGCGTGACCGCCGCATGGCAGGGCTGGAAGGGCTCACACGAGCCGGTGGCTGCACAGCATTGCCGTTTCAGCCGTTTGCCCGCGACCCACGCTGTGGTTAGATGTCATCCAGACCCCTCCCCCTCACAGTGGCCTGTGCACAGCAGAGCAGGACCCTGGCCAGGCCTGACTACAACACAACAAGACCCTGGCCAGTCCTGACCGCCCTGCCACTCACAGTGACCTGTGCACAGCAGAGCAGGATGCTGGCCAGTCCTGACTACAACACAACAAGACCCTGGCCAGTCCTGACCTCTACAACACAACAAGACCCTGGCCAGTCCTGACCTCCCTCCCCCTCACAGTGACCTGTGCACAGCAGAGCAGGACCCTGGCCAGTCCTGACCTCCCTCCCCCTCACACTGACCTGCGCACAGCAGAGCAGGACCCTGGCCAGTCCTGACCTCCCTCCCCCTCACACTGACCTGTGCACAGCAGAGCAGGACGCTGGCCAGTCCTGACCGCCCTCCCCCTCACACTGACCTGTGCACAGCAGAGCAGGACCCTGGCCAGTCCTGACCGCCCTCCCTCTCACAGTGACCTGCGCACAGCAGAGCAGGACGCTGGCCAGTCCTGACCGCCCTCCCCCTCACAGTGACCTGTGCACAGCAGAGCAGGACGCTGGCCAGTCCTGACCGCCCTCCCCCTCACACTGACCTGCGCACAGCAGAGCAGGACGCTGGCCAGTCCTGACCTCCCTCCCCCTCACAGTGACCTGCGCACAGCAGAGCAGGACGCTGGCCAGTCCTGACCGCCCTCCCCCTCACACTGACCTGCGCACAGCAGAGCAGGACGCTGGCCAGTCCTGACCGCCCTGCCACGCCCTGCTCTGCTCAAGCTGCTGTTGGATCCACTACGTCTGCCTCGGCGAGGGTCTTCCTCTCTCGGACCCTCTGCTTTTCCTGCAGAGACCAGCTTCTGCTGATTACATGCCCAAAGCATGCAGACAAAGCCCCAGGTCCTTGCTTCTAAGAAGCGCTCTACCTGCACTTCCGAGATAGATTTGCTCGTCCCCTGCCAGTTCAATACTCTCCACTAGCAGCATAATATTAAAGCATCGATCTATCATCTGTCTCCTTATCTGTTGTCCAACTTTCACATGAATATGAAGCCGCTGAAAATGCCATGGTTGGGTGTAAGGCACCTTAGTCTTTAAAGTGGCATCCTTGCTCTGTGGTGCTTTAGAGACCCCTTTGCTCAGTGTAAGGCAGACCCACATAAAGAGGTCTTACGAGACATGTTTTACTGGATTTTAATGCTCTGTGTTCTCTCTCAAAACACAGGGGTCCCGCTGCCCACCCTCCAATGGTACAAGGATGCTGTGGCCATCACCAAGCTCCAGCATCCCCGCTACAAAGTGCTCTCGAGTGGGGGGCTGCGCATCCAGAAGCTGCATCCGGAAGATTCTGGAATCTTCCAGTGCTTTGCCATTAACCAAGGCGGGGAGATCCAGACGCATACCTACCTGGACGTCACCAGTGAGTACTGCCCGTTGGCATAGCAAGACCACAGGACCACGCTGTGGACCAGCCTCAGTCACTGCATCCAGCCTTTCTCCCCTAACAAGTGGAGGAACTGGTGGCCAGAGGTGACCGTTCTGAGGAGAGCTGTCACATGCTGTCCTTGTCTAGTGTCAGGACACAGAAACACCACAGGGGAGTGGCTTTGACAAACAAAGTTGTTTTCTCACGAGTTAGGAGACTGGAAGTCTGAATTCGGGATGCCAGGTCCAGGGCAGGCTCTCTCTGTGGGTTCCAGGGGTGGATCCTGTCACCTTCGTAGCCCCGTGTGCCCTGGTTCCCTGTAATTTACACATGACCTTGTCAGCCTGGTTTTACTTGGTGAAGGAGCCTGGGCTGTACAGTGGTTAAAGGATCCGGCTGCTGACCAGACGGCTGATGGTTTAAACTCAGCAGCATCGAGGAACCAGAGGAGGTGTCTGCTTCCATGGGGATTACAGCTTTGGAAGCCCCTCAGAGTCCTGCGCTGTGCGGGGTCCCGGGGAGGCAGAGCCGACTCAAAAGCAGGGATTCCGTCCTTGCTTCCGGGTCGGTCAGCTCCGCTCACATCTCTAAGTCCTTCACACACACAGTCCCTTGCGGGGTGTAACCTTACCGTGATTCCGTCTTTGCTTCCGGGTCAGTCTCCTCTGCTCACGTCTCTAAATCCGTCACACACAGTCCCTCGCTGGCTGCTCCCTACAGGGCCTGGCCTCGCTGGTTTGTCAGAGCAGAGCCTTGTCCTGTGTGGGTCACACCCACAGGTGGGGGTTTATGTTGTTGGTGCTGTGAGGCCAGCTCCTGCTCACAGCGACCCTGTGGACCCTGGAGCAAAGCCTGGCCCACCACCCTGCTGCACAGGACCCCACTGGGGCAGCCTCAGTGCCAGGCCGTCTCTTTGAGGGGCTTCCCCTTTTTGCTGACATGATGGGGGGGCAGTGAGGACAAGACACCATTCAGCCTCCAGGCACCCCGAAGACACCCCACACTTCCACCACGCACTGCTGTCCTGTGAGGCAGGGTTTGCACTTGGGGGCCTCCCCCGCCACCCCGGAGGAGAGTTGGAAACAAAAGCCTGAGTTTTAGGCCGAAACTAGAATGACGGCTGGGTGAGCGGCCCCACCGACCCTTTGCTCTCTCCTTTCCCTGTTGTCTGTGTTCACGCTCTGCCCACTTTAGTGAGCACTTCCAGTTCTTTTGTGACTCTCTTTTATTCGCTCATTAACAGTGGCCCCTTCTCCTGAAAATCTGAAGGGAGGTTTTGGGGGTACTGTATCCGCTCACAGGGGCCACTTGTCCCACTGGGCGTGCTGTCAGGAGGGGCCAGTCCTTGGAAAAAGCCACCATGCTGGGAGAGGTGGAGGGTGGGCAAAGGAGAGCAAGACCCCGACAGGATGGACGGCGCAGTGACAATGACAGTGATTGGTGACAGTGCAGGCCAGCGCAGGCCCGTGTGTGCGCGGGGTCACGGAGGTAGAGCTGACCCAGCGGCACCTGACAGCAGCAGTTGTCGTATCGCCTCCGTAACGTGGAGTAGAACCTCAGCTCCAGGGCCGTTGAGTCCAGTGAGGCTCGTGGTGACCCTGCCATTGAGTTTCTGAGGCTGGAAATCCTTGAGGAAGAGGACTGCCCATCTTCATCCTAGGGAACGACTGATGGATTTGAACTGCCGACCTTTAGCATTCTAACATGTTACACTCTATGCTCCCATGGTGGCATCTAACAACAACAGCAGCAAAATGCGCGTTTGCTTCCTGGGCCATGATTCTCAGTGTTTTGGATAGAGGGATGTGGCAAATATCACTGGTCATGCCCAGTGACCTGATAAGCCAATCAGTGGTAAGAAAGGTGGTGACAGCATTCTCAGTCCCACCATAACCTTGGTTTGTGTAAGAGGTTTCTCCCTCAGCCTGGCCCGCACCATCTTTGATCTCATGAGAGACCACAGAAAAGAGCTGGGAACAGAGAGGGAGGTACTTTGGTATCCAGGAAGAGCCAGGAACAGCAGGCCTTTGGGCCCATGTGTCTTTGCTAAGAACCTTCTAGACCCAGGGGAGGGGGATGTCAACACACACTGAGCCCCCCAGAGGACCCAGCTACCTGAGAGGGGACCACAGCCGACAGAGGGAACTTCCCTGGAGCGGGCACTGTGAATTCTAACTTCTAGCCTCAGCTCTGTGTGTCAGATCCATCCACGTGTGGCATTTCTGTTCTAGTAGCCAGAGGTACTGGGACACTTGCTGGAAGCTGAGCTTTGATCAGTTTAGATTATTTGTACCCTATCTCACGGTTTCAGACCAGGATGTACTGGGGTGAAGTCAGGAAACCTTCTCTCTGAAGAGAAATACAGTAAATATTTTGGACTTTGAGGAACATCATCTCTGTCCCCACAATTTAACTCTTCTGTTACAGAACGAAGCCACCAAAGTCGGTAAACTAGCAGGGAGTGTGGCTGTGTTCCAATAAAGTTTTATTTACAAACACAGATAACAAACTTTATTTGGCCCTTGGACTGAAATTTGCCAACACTTGGTCCAGAAGAAAAGAGTCCTGTGCTGTCAGAGACCTCTCCAAAGTCCTGAAGAGCAGTGATATTTGTTTAAAGACTAAGGTGTGCCTGATTCAGGCTCCAGTCACATGCTGTATGTTTTAGAGCCAGACAATTAATAAGGATGACAGAAAAAGAATAGATGCAGTTGAGTTGTGATGTTAGAGTGCTGAGCACCCCATGGACAGCCAAAAGAACAAACAGATACGTCTTGGAGAAAGTGCAACCAGAATGTTCTTACATGCAAAGATGGCGACGCTTCATCTCACATATTTTCGGGACATGTTGTTAGGAGAACTCTTCCTTGGGAAGGGGCATAACTCACGGAAAGATTGAGCAAAGTGAAGGACGGGAAGACCTTCAAGGAGATGGATTGATAGAAAAGTGTCGAGGACACGAAGGATGGTGCAGGACAGGAAAGACTTCAGGTCTGTTGTTCCTCGAGTCGTTAGACCTACTTGACAGCACTTAACAACAACAACAGTGGAAAAAAAAAGAAAAAAGATAATAACAACAGTGGTTAAGAGCTTGGCTTCCCCTGAAAGGTGGGCAGTTCAAATCCCTCTGCTTCTGTCTGAAAAAGACCCAGAGACTTGCTTCTATAATATTACTTTCACCCAAAACAACAGCCTTGGGGACCCACTGGAGCACTTCTCTGTCCTATAAAACCCCAAGTCAAACACACTGCAGTGGGCTTGATTCTGACAGGTGGCGACCTGCCATCCTGTTCTGAGGCTGTGCATCTTAGAGTGCGGGGCGGGGTGAAGTTCCCTCCTCCTCCCTCGGAGAGGCTGGTGGGCTCGAACCACCCACCGCCCTGTTGACAGTCCAGCACTGAGCCCACTCAGCGGGCTGCCCTGTCCTGTAGGGCTGCTGTGATTCGGGGTTAACCCAAGGACACACAGGAACAACAAGGCCCGGGAGAAGGCCTGGTGGTTGACAATGAGGACTGAGGATGGGCAGCTTCAGCTTCCTGCCTCCTCCAGGACTCCGTGTGTCCGGCACCTGGAGGGTAGTCAACTCTGAAACAAACAAAGTCACCGGTCACCGTGGCAACTGGAGCAGGGCACACACCTAAAGTTAGGTTTTATAACAGACATTTCCCCTCTCAAATTAAAACACCCTTTATGAAAGGAAGGGAAGGAGGGAGGGAGGAAGGAAAGAAGGAAGGGAAGGAGGGAGGGAGGCAGGGAGGACACATGTACAAGTCAGTATTTATTCCTTCTCTTAACCTGTGTTTCCTGAGGGAAGGTGAGTGAGCAGGTCGGAGGGGCCAGCTGTGCTCTGGACGAGGGCTGTGGTGGGGAAGGACCAGGACGAGATGAGCACAGGTGGAGGTGTGCGCTCGGAGGAAGAGGGGCCAGCCGTGCCCTACTGGACAGTCACGTGTACACTTCTCTGAGGGGCAGTGCTCAAGCTGGACCGTGACTGGAGAAGAGAGTACACATCCTCAGGGACACTTCCTGCCAGGAGGGGCCACCTCGTCCCATGAGCAGACACCTTATCCTAGGAGAGGTCACCCCATCCCAGGAGGAGACATCCCAGCACAGGAGGGGATACCCCATCCCAGGAAGGAACACCTTATCCTAGGAGAGATCACCCCACCCCAGGAGGGGACACCCCGTCCTAGGAGGGAACACCTCATCCCAGGTGGGGACACCCCATCGCAGGAGAGCCCCAGCTGTGTGGGCACCTCACTGGGGCAGATCTCCTCCATCCTGGGGGGCAGCAGCCTTGCTCTTTGGCACCCCTGTGGTTAAGCAGTCCTGTCCACTCTAACCTGAGCACTTCCTTCCTGGCAGAAGGCTCTGACAGGCTGCTTCTGTGGAGATGGGCTTTGACTGGCCACAGCGCGGCCCTCTGTGCTGCAGGACACTGCGAGTAGGGCAGCTGGACTGTACCCAGCCCCAGCCCCAGCAGAGGGCCTCCTGTGCAGAACCCCCTGAGTGTAGCTGGCTTGCTGTGGTTGTAAGCAAGGAACCCTGGTAGCACGTTGGGCTAAGTACTGAACTGCTAGCAACCGACAGGGCCTTAAACAGCCCTGCAGCTCCGTGGGAGGAAGGTGAGGCTGTGCCCAGAAATGTGGCAGCCGGGGAGCCCCGAGGGGCAGTTCTGCTCTGTCCTGCAGGGTCTCGTCAGCAAGAATGGACTTGACCACTGTGGGCTGTAGTCTAAAGGGCGGACGCCCGGCCCTGCGTTCTCGCCTATGGGGACCGCTCACCTGCATCCACTCTCCTTGCTCTCTGCACTTCCCGCTTCGAACGCCCACCCCCTGGGGAGGCTGCATTTCCCCTCCACTTGTAAACAAAGACAGGCAGTTCCCTGCAGACGCATAATGAAGGGTTACAGTGGCACCAGCAGGTTTTCATTTTTCACTGCCACCTTCATCTTGTTGATTGGCTCTTAAAAGTCCCATCTGGGACGTCCCCCAGCTTGGCTGGAGGGACAGCACACCAATGAGTGGATTTCTCGATACAGATATCGCCCCAACGTTCACTCGGCGCCCAGAGGACACCATGGTGACAGATGGAATGACGGCCACCCTCACGTGCATGGTGTCTGGAGCCCCCAAGCCCACCATCACCTGGAGGAGAGGTGAGGCCCTGGCGGCTTCTTGACTGCATGGCTGGGGGAGGAAACGCGCCTCGGCAGGGCTGTGATGGCCGTTAGGATTCAGCTGCTCATTCCTTCAGACAAGATGAGCATGGGGACACTGGTCAGCAGGCGGGGCCTGGGGACCAGGACACACAGGTGAGGAGGGCAGGTGAGGCGTGTGGTCCACGAAGAGGTTCAATAATACTGGCCATCATTGTGCAAATCTCATTTGCCCTGCCCTGGCCTGGAGGGGCGGGCTGGGCCGTGGGAAGGGGCCACAGCGCACTATCTCTGCCCACTCTCTATCAGTCCCTCAGGGCCCCTGCCAGCGGCTCCCAGGAGGAAGACGGGCAGCCTGTGCTTGGAAGAGTAGAAACCCCTGGGACGGTTCCACTCTGTCCTACAGGGTCACTAGGCAACGAATTTAACTCAAAGGCAGTGTGTTTGATAGGCCTTTCAAATGCTTAACCTCCCAAAGATAGTCATAGACATGGACGTCACTGTTACGGGATGTGACAGCATCTCGACTTTTGTCGTGAGGAGGAAACGCTGCTGTTGTGTGTAAACGCTGTCTGTATTCCGACCGTGTGGCCCAGCAATGCTCCTGACAGGGCCCTTGGGCCTGGCCCTCCCCTCTTGCGCTGTACCCCTCACACTCCTGCTTCCTCCCTTGTCCGCAGGGACCCAGGTCCTGGCCAGCGGCTCCGTGCGGATTCCTCGGTTCATGCTTCTTGAGTCCGGGGGTCTGCAGATCACCCCAGTCTTCCTCCAGGACGCCGGCAACTATACCTGCTTCGCCACCAACTCCGAGGGCTCCCTGGATGCCTCAGCCGAGCTCACCGTATGGAGTAAGGACTGCCCCTCCTGAAACCCCGTCACTCGCGGTTGGCCACCGAGTCACTGCCCGACTCCAGCATGTCCTTGGATGCCCCAGTTCCCTCCAAAGAGCCCGATTATTTTTACAAATCATTCACAGAAATCTGTTGAGGAATTAATCTCTTCCGTTTCCAAAAGCATAATTAGAAAATGTATTCAAAAGTTTAATGGGGACATTTCAGGGGAGATGAATGATTGACTTTTTAAAATGTCATATTATCAGGAGGGACTAGTTCCCCAGAGAAAGATCTCATTCTTGCTCTAGTTAGAGAGACAGGAAAAGGGGAGGGAAGGACCCGCAATGAAGTGGGTCAGCCCAGCAGCTGGACTGTATGCCTAGACCAGTGGTGACTGAGAGGACAGTGTGGGGTTGAGTGGACACAGCAGCTGGACCATGGGCCTACACCAGTGGAGACTATGAGGACACTGGTGTCGAGTGGACACAGCAGCCGGACAGTGGGGTCCAGAGGTGTTTGGTGCTGTCCTGGAGGGTCAAGCAGGGGGCTGTGAGTCACAACTGACTTGATTGAACAACAACTGAGATAACATGCTTGTTGTTTTGTTGCTGAACTTTAAGAAAATGCTTTCAAGCATGCAGGTCCTGGGGAAAGTATTTTTTTTCCTGCTTTATCACCATTATCAGTTAACTATCTCTTCTGACTTCATTAAATATGAGTATTTTTTTTCCTCTGTTCAGAGTAAACTGAAAGAAAGGTCCTTGTTCTTTCTCCTGCTTTTGCCTCTCCTAATTTTATCTATACGTTTCTGAAAGGCAGAACAAATTATTTTCCAGAATGCAAGGCTGCAGCACCAGACCTCACACCCCTCCTCCTTTTATTAGCTTCAATTACCAGGGTATTCTTCTCTCTGCTCCATTCAGATACACGTTACTGAAAAGTCATTGTTCAAAAATGCAAGAGATAGCTCGCTCTAGCAGACTTTCCTAAGCCGTCTACGTAAGGAGAGAATGTTTTGAACTTGCTTGGGTGAATCATCTGCTAAGATGCCTTCCTTTAGGAAAACCAGGTCGTTGTGCTTCACTTCGTGTGTCTCCTATGCTTGGTGTCCACTTTGAAAAATGACCCTTTTAATTTCTTAGGCATGCTAAAAATAGTGTGAGGTTAAAAGAAATTAATATAGATACTCACAATAGCATCAAGAACATTAAAAAAACCCTTTACATTCTGTCTTGTGGTTGATTCAATTATCCAGTCATAATTCATCATACTTTTCTGTAAATTAATTGTATGTAGGAAAAGCTTTTGAAAAAGAAGTAATGTCTGAATCTCTATAGATAGTTAACCAGAAAATTCTACAGGCTTGCTAAGGTTGGAAATTATCCCAACACTGGAACGTTTTTGTGGCTCATATTTTAATGCATTAGCTAGGTTAGCCTGAACAAAGGTTTGTGATGTTTGTATCTTCCTTTTATATTCAAGGAAACTAAGGTTAGAGGACCTTCCCCCCATCCCCGGCCCCCGCAGAGCTAGCAAGCTTGTCTTCCAACTTCAGGTACACCGGTTAGTCTTCTGTTGTACCTTCGGGACCTGATAGAAGACCCATTCCACCCGCCGGTCAGTCCCTGAGCAGCATGAACCCTCCACCTCTTGGAAGGTTCATCTCCACTGACAGCAAAGCTGTCTCTGAGGCCTAGAAAAGAAGTCAGGGTCCAGGTGGTCCACCTGTGGTTAGTTTTGGTCTTGTTGAGAACCTGCTTGGCAGAGCAGCTCCCATCTCAGCAGTGTCCACGTGAGCATTTCCTTCATGTTGACGGCATTCCTCAAGGCCTGTGTGCATCCTCAGCCTCTCCAAAATTGCACCCCCCCCCCGATTCTCATAAGCTCACAGCCCCTTAAGCTCTTCATACCATCTTTGTGATTGTTGTGATGGATATTGCCAAGCGGTGATGAGCCCGGGAAGAACGTGGAGGGCGGCCTTACAGTGCGTTGTCGCTGGCTGTGTTACTGCCCCCACGTGTGCAGTTTTAGGGAGCATCTGGGGACGTTCAGCCACCCAACCTGTGTGTGAGCAGCCAATCACAAACCACGTTTGTTGTCAGAGCTCTGGACCTCACCAACAGGACGTGTGCTTTCGGCACCGTCTCAGCACTTCTGACTCCTGGTGATTCTGTGTTTGACAGAAGGGACACCCCCGGTACTGAGCTGCCCTCATCACCGCAGCCTACGTTTAAGGCCATCCTGCAGCCACTGTGTCATTCGATCTCATTGAAGGCCTCCTCTTGTCACCTGACCAGCGGGGTCAGGGGACAAGCAATCGTAATGTTCTTACCAAGCGTAATGTCCTCCTCCGGAGACTGGCCCCTCCAGATACGATGTCCATGTGAGCCAGCATCTCACCATCCTCAGATCTGAGGGGTGCCTTTTCCAAGACATTTGTTTGTTCCGGTGCCCGTGGCATATCCAGTCAGTCTGCCTTAACCATTGCACAGCTTTCACATGCACGTGTGGTGATTGAAAGTACCACGATGGCTTGAGTAAGGTGCACCTTAGACCTCAAAGTGACATCCTTGCTCTTGAACGCTGTAAAGATCTTTTGCAGCAGATTTGCCCACTGTGTTCATGTAGGTTCATGTAGAACTTCCCAGATGTTGCCACAGAGCCCTGGGTGTCCAAAATGTTTGTACTCAATTACAGCTGAAAGTTTAGTAGCTTGAACCCACCCACCAGGACCACTGATGATAGACTTGGCAAACAGCTTGTGCAAAAGTTACAGCCGGGGATTCTGTGGAGCCAGCTCTGCTCTGTAGCACGCAGCATTGCTTTGACTTGGAACCCACTTGGCGGCCGGGCTTCTTGGTGGTTGGTGTTCCTGATTTTACTCTGGTGCCCTCATTTCAATGCTAACTTTCTCGTGGGAGTGTCTGAGGGTCCCAGGGTGCTCTAGGAGAGGCAGGGGGCTTGACTCACTCTGCTGTAATACAAAAAGGGGACTTGCCATCCCCCAGACATTTCTAAGCACTTCCATTTGTGTGCTTTCACGAGAGAGAAGACATAATAGGTTTTGGTGTCAGATGACCCATCTGTTACCCCTGAGGGAGGCGGTACTCTACTTGCAATTCTGTCTGAGTTGTGTGTTTTTTGTTTTGTTTTGGTTTTTTGCAGATCGCACGTCCATCATTCGCCCTCCAGAGGACGGGGTGGTGATTAAGGGGACGACCGCCACACTGCACTGTGGAGCGACGCACGACCCCAGGGTCTCCATCCGGTCAGCCCCTTACGATACTCAGTAACCTATGAACATCGCCGTGAATATTGCAGTATTCCCAGGGATGCTGAGATGAAAAGAGTGTTTGGGAACTTTGATCTCAGCTTCAGTTGACCAATTCTGGCATCTCACGGTTGTGGGAGCTCCCATTAGCCCCACAAATCCCATTTCACTCGGGCCTCGGGAATCGTTCGTTTACAGGGAGCTGGGTTCATGGCTCCAGTGCAGCGGGGGAATCGGCCCAGGTCAGTCCGCTCTCTGAGGGAACCTGTCAGAGGCTGACACCGAATGAGAAGCGGTCTAGACGCACCAGGGTGGATTTCAGCGCAGCGTCCACGGGAGCTGTGGGCACTTAGGCGGGCTCCCCACGGGCCGGGCCTGCTCCCGTCGTGGAGGGAGGGGCAGGAGGAGGGCCTGTCTGTGGAAGGAAAGTGGCACATTCTCTCCTGCTTTCTGGGCATCAAAGGGCATGTTGCAGTGGACAGATATCCCGTGAAGGCCCTCTTTAAAGGAGAAAAGAGCAGGGTGCCGTTTTAAGGACAGGTTTATGTGACCCAAGCTAGATAGTATTGCCAGCTGCTTCCTACTCTTGTGAAATTTAACAACAATAAGGAAAACCAAAGCAGAATCGATGGTTTTGAGTTGTGTTGGTGAAGTGTTAAAACAGCACGGCCCGTCAGAAGAACCACCCTGCCTCGAAGGAAGTCGATCAGGCCACTCCACGGTGGCAAGGATGATGAGGCCTCGGGATTCGCTCTGGCCGTGTTGGCAGGTTCCCGTTCTTGGCAAAGACTGGGACTAACAGGCAAGCGAGAAGAGGTGGTCCCTTCCTGAGATGGTGGGAGCAGGACGTGGCTAGCGTCCTATCTCTTCTGTGTGGGTCATTGTGGATCACCATGGGCCTGATGATCTCTAACGACGGCGTCTGGAGACTGGAACTGGGTGACTCGGAGCTTTAAGACTCCTGTCTGCTCGTGGAGCCTGGAATGTCCGGGGAAAGGATTTGGCTGGGAGCTTTTGGGTTAGTGGTTGGAATAAGCAGCCCCTCCTCAGAGCAGAAGAAGGTTTCTAGACAGACTACAGCTGTGGAAGCCCCCTGAGCAGTCTCCCCACAGCACAGCTGGCCCCATGGAGACACCCTGGGCAGTTGTCCTCACACCACAGCTCCTGGAACTGGCTGCCTGACTGGCCGTGGTGGGCTGCCTGGGGACAGATGTTTGGTTAAAGGGCTCAGCTGAAAGGCTACAAGTTCACATCATCCAGAGGTGCTTGGGAAGACAGACTTGGTCCTCCAAAGAATTCCTTGAATGTCCCATTATGACACACGCGAGACCAGCACTGACTTTACAGCAACTGACGTTTGTCTTATACGTGCCACCCCAGCTGTCTCGTATGCCCATCCAAGTGACCGGAAATCTGCAACAACCTGAATATGTTTTCTTCTTTTCTCGTTATGTTGCCTAACGGTCCAGTTGTGAAGACTGCGTGTCCTTCGCGTTGAGGTCTAGGCCGTGCAGAAGCCTGTGGCCTCGAGCTTTCTCATTAGGTGTTTTGCATCTCTGCTTTCAGCCAGCCAGGCTGTGTCGTCCACCCAGGCTGTGACGTCCGCCCAGGCTGTGTCGTCCGCCCAGGCTGTGTCGTCCGCCCAGGCTGTGACGTCCGCCCAGGCTGTGTCGTCCGCGTTGCACAGCTTGCTGACTGACGGGCCTTCCTCCAGCCCTGGTCCTGCGTTCTTTTTCATGTAGTCCCACCTCTTGAATTGTCTGCTCCACATAGTGATTATGGAAGCAGCATCCAATATCAAAAGAACACATTACATCGGCCAGAGCTGCTGCAAAAGACATCTTGAAAGTGTTCAAAAGCAAAGGTGCCCATTGAGGACGAAGGTGCCTCTGACCGAAGCCGGGGTGCTCCCAGAGGTGTCGTGTGCGTGTGAGAGCTGGAGAATGAATAAGGAAGACCGAAGACTGGTGAATGCGTCAGGATTATGGTGTGGGAGGGCAGCATGGGGCGCGCCGTACTCCTCGGAAAGCACCCACCGTCCTGTCTGGGAAGAAGAGTGGCCACGGGGCTCCCAGAGGCGAGGGCAGTGAGGCTTGTTCTCGTTTATAGTGGACATGTGATCAGGAGGGACCAGCCCTGGAGGAGGACACCATGTCTGGCAGAGCAGGAAGAGCCTCGGGCAGAGGGACCCACATGGTGGCCGAGGCCGTGGGTTCAAGCCCAGTGTCGACCATGACAGTGCACACAGGATCACTAGGCGTTAGAACCTACGGGAAGCAAACACCAGAGTCCTTCGGTGGCACCAGAGGCTAAGTGCTCCCCAACTAACAGAAAGGCTGGGGGTTCAAGTCCACCAGAGGTTCCGAGAAAGCAAGGCCTGGTAATCTAGGCCACTGGTGACCTGTGGAACACAGAGATCTGCGGTGACGTGCAGGGTCGCCATGGCTCAGGGCTCACTGGGCAGTCCCTGTGTGGTCTCAGGACATGCTGCTGAAAAGCATGAGCTTTCACGTGAAGGCAGGGCGGTCAGCTCCTGGCCGTCAGAGAGGAGCTGTGCCCGACAAGAAGCTGCTCCGAATCAGCCTTGGAATAAATCTGAGAAGAAAGAGGGCGTCTCCCAAGTGATTTCTGGCCTTCGGTGAAGAGGCCTGCCGTCAGCAGGATGGGCCGGTCAGCGTCCTCCCTGCTTGTGGGGACACTGTCCTCTGAGTGTGGAGGCTGAGGCATGGCTGTGCACACAGACCTCATGCTCTGGCCTCAGCACACCTGGCCTCTCGCTTCCCCGGTAGCGACCGCCTCACTGGCATTCCCCAGAGCTCACGGCGCAGACTTGCTAGCTGGCTGCCTAGTCGCCCTTGGACCTCTGCTTCCCATCTGGCCAGAGTGTTGAATGCAGAACCGAAGACAGAGCCCGAGCTGTGTGCTCTGCGGAGTCCTTGTGTGGAGTCTCGGGCCTGAGAAGGAGCCGTGTGGTTCTGCGCAGTCCGGGCCCTCCGGGACAACCAAGCCCAGGAACGTCCAGTTCCAAGGCGGTGCCCCAGTCGGCTCCAACACACCCCAGCCCCAGGGGGCAGGTAGAGCTTGTCTGCAGCGTTTCAGGCCACGGTCTGGATTGCACGCCGCTCTGGTGCCAGACATGGTGCGCTGCTCACTAAAGGCAGCCCTTCCGACGGGAGAGGCGTGCCCGGTCCCGTCCGGTAAAGGTCTGCAACCCGCAGAGGCGGCCACCAGGATCAGAATGGACAGAGGGCACGGGGCCAGCCTTGCTGTCTGTTTTGATCTTGAGGAAAGTAGACATCCAGGTGTCTGTCCTTCGGAGAGGCTCATGGGTTCAAATCACAGGCCTTCTGATTAGCAACTGAGTGCTTAAGTGTTGTGCCACCAGGGCTCTTCTGAACTTTTGAGAAGTCTCCTTACTGAGATGGAAATTGGTCTTGCTTCCTGGTGTTCCTTGTCCCAAAGCGCCCAGCCTTCCGTGACACCACAGCTGATTCGCAGAGCGAGCTGTTTCCTAGCTCCCCCTGTAACAGCGGGCCTGTGCTGTCCCTGGGTGACCGTGTTTGACACGTAGCTCGTACATAAGAAGTGTTAGTGGTGAAGCCCTGCATGTAACTGAAAGGTCAGCTCTTAGAATCCACCAGCTTCCCCAGGACAGAAAGAGGGGTGCGGTCTTCCATCTGAAGAGAACAAGCCACGCAGCCCCAATCCAGGGTCACCAGGAGTGACAGGGAAAGGACAGCCGCCAACCGGGGCCATGAGCGAGTCAAAGGACAGCAGAGGTCTGGGGTCCTGAGGCCTCAAAGGGCAACAGGGGGCTCAGACTGTGAGTGTCACAGGGACAGCTGAGCGCTGGGCTTTGTAAATGTCTGTGCTGTGTGCATATTAAGGCTTTAAAGGACAGGACATTTAAAAAATCTAATCAAATTATTCAAACAGCAAACCAGCCCTTTCATCCCATCTAAGCAATAAATATTGGCGCCTGCCCACTGCTGTCTGAAGACTGGACGGACTCTTAATTAATTCACTATTGGCAAAGGGATGTGTCCAAAAATTGACTCAGATAAAGATTGAAAGAGAAGGAAGTGCATTTTTAAGGACAGTCCGACAGAATGGCTAAATTAAGGAAACGCATTAATGTGGAAAGATGATATATTTTTTTTCCCCAAGAATTGAGTAATTCCACACCAAGAATGTTTTAAAATGGACTGGCTCCTATCAGACAGCAGCCTTCTCTCCCAGGGCCCTCCCGGGCCAGGACTGTTAGATACAATCTTTGTCGGTGATGGATGTGATGATCCCATGAACTTCCCATCGCAAAACAAGGGCCCAGATAGATCTCTCCAATTATCTCAATGTTCTGTTTATATCTTCAGCATCTGTTTCTGTGTTACTACCCAGAGACCTGCCCGCTTGGCTTTTCTTTATAAGATTAAGGTAGAATTCACACAACACAAAACCCCTCCCCGCTGAAGTGCACAGTGCAGCATGTTTCACACGTCCACGCATCGCTTGTTGTACTGTCCACATCCCGTTTGTGAAATACGACGGCAGGTGATGTGGACATTGTATGGACACCACATGACGTACAGGCAGCCCCAGATCGCAAGCGAGCTGTAGCTAAGTTGGGTCAGTCAGGCCCAGTTCCTGTCAAGTGGCTGTTAATGAAATGTTTGTGTGGTACACGCTTGGCTGGACCTTCAGTGCACAGAGGGCAGTAAAGAAGCATCTCTGGACCAGCGAACCATTTTAACGTAACAATGACACTTTCCTGGCGTGCATCACTCAAAAGCCCAAACTCACTCTCTGGTTGCTGAGGACATAAGTAGACCTTTCTCCCTTGGAGCTGCGGGTGGATTTGAACCACCAGACACTCGGCGCCTCTGAGATAGCTTGCCATGACTAGCCCATCGGAGTGCGCTGTACGCATTTTGGATTTTCAGGGTAGCAGCGTGATCAGCATGGGAACAGTGGAAGCATGTGGTCGGACGCTATCCGAAGAAACATCCTTCGGTGCAGGCGGTTGGTACCTTGTGTCCCAGCAGGCAGGGAGGGATTCGAGTCTGTTCTGTGCTTCCTCTCACTCTGTTCTCTCTGCCTGGCCCACAGCTATGTCTGGAAGAAGGACGGTGTGGTGATGAACCCTTCCGGCAGCTCTCGGATCATGGTGGAGAGGGACGGGTCCCTGGTCATCAGTCAGACGTGGTCGGGGGACATCGGGGATTACACCTGCCAGCTCGTCTCCCAGGGAGGAAACGACTCCCGCACCGCCCGTCTGGAAGTGATGTGAGTATCCCCCGTGGGGAGGTGTCACTGTCTGCTAATGTCCCTTCCCGTCGGGTGAGGGGGACAGACGCCATGCTGGTGGAGTAGAGGGTCCATGAAGGAGGAAGACCCTCAGTGAGGTGGCGTGACACTGTGGCGTTGGCCACTCCAGGAGCCTGTGGAGGGCGCAGACCGGGACTGTTGTGCTCTGCCATTCACGGAGTTGCTCAGAATCAACCGTGCCGGCCAGAGCCCCGAGGCTGCGTGCACTGGGGCACCCAGGGGTCGCTCCTGGAACGACTGTCCCTGGACTCGCGATGCCGTGTTATGTGAGTCAGCAGGGTGAGGCCCTCTCACTGCTACCTCCGACGCCACGGGGTCCACCCCACCTCCTGGGCACCTGGTGTGTGTGAGGGGTGAGCCATGTCCCGTACGTTCTCGGGGGGCTGATGTTCCAGGAGCCAAACCCCAGGCTTTCTTCCTGCCCTCTCAGCCGGGTGTGTTCCCGTTTGCTCCAACCAAACCAGAAAACCCAAAGCACTGCCGTCCAGCCGATCCCAAAGTGACCCGGTGGACAGAGCACGGCGTCTCCGCTGGGTCTCTAAGGCAGGGCTTACCTTCGCTGGGAAGAGTGAGGCGAGTGAGGGAGGCCCTCGACCAGGTGGGCTGACGGCCTGGGCTCCAGTGTGTCGGAGATGGTGAGGAGGACGGGGCAGGGTGCAGCATGGTGGTTCACGGGACACTGTGAGTCGTCCTCAACTCGACGGCACCTGGCAGTAACGAACCTTCCCAAGGGCGCACCGCTGGTGGAAGCCCGTGACCTTCCTGCAGAGCCTTGAGCTTTACCCCGCCCAGCCATGGCCTTCAGCGGCTTGTCTGTGAACAGTAACACGTCCTGTGTGCTCATCGACCCCCTGTTGTCATCACACAGTGACGAGATCAGATAACCTCCAGCCCCAGGACCAGAGTCCATGTTTTCACTTATCGGCCTGCAGCCGGGTGGACCGTCACGGTGGCCCCACTGAGTCAACACCATCACTGGAGGCCAGGCGATCTGCACACTTGCTTGAGCTGCTCTGGGGGTAAATGCATACTTGCCTGAAATTCTTTCAAAATTGTGAAAATAGCAATCAGATGCCCCCTCCTTCCAATCTCCACCTGCTCGGGGCTCTGAGCACCAGATGAGGGGCCCTCATCTTTACTGTGCTATTCGGCTCCCCTCACTCCGTCTGCTCGTGGAGCCTGGGGTGGAAACGCCTGCTGCCGGGCTTTCCTTTCCCAATGTGCATTTATTTGCTGTTTTAACTGTGCCTCCCACAGACCCCTGAGGGCATCCCTACAAACATTAACCAGCAAGGAAGGCATCAAAGCAGAGCAGTCGTCGGGGCTCCAGCTGCACACACCCCACGGTCCCACAATACACTGCACGCGGTGCCCTCACAGAGACCCCTGAGTGCGTACGTACAAACATTAACCAGCAAGCAAGGCATGAAAGCAGAGCAGCCGTCGGGGCTCCAGCTGCACACACCCCACGGTCCCTCCATGCACCGCATGCAGTGCCCTCCCAGAAGGCCGCTCACCCCGATCCAGGAAGGCCTCCACACACACAGACAGTAAGGGGCACTTGGATTGGGGCTGTGCCTCACTTATTTTTAGACCCAAAGATGCCCACCAAGGACATTAAGAAGAAAAGAATTCCTGCTAGGTACTCAGTCAGCTAAGTGTGGATTGCATCTCAACATCAAGAAAACAAAGATCCTCCCCGCCAGGCCATAGGCAGCATCATGATAAGTGGAGAAAAAATGGAGGCTGTTTACAATCCTATCTCGCTCAGATCCACATTCAACACCCTTGGCACCAGCAGTCAGAAAATCAAAAGATGAATTGCATTGGGAAAATCTACTGTCAAGGACCTCTCCAGAGTGCTAAAGAGCAATGATGTCAGTCTAGAGACTAAGGTGCAATCCAGTCCATGGTCTTCTCAATTGTTTGCTATGCATCAGAGAGCTGGACAATGGATAGTGACAGAAGAAGAATCGATACCTTTAAGTTGTGGTGCTGGAGAAGAGTATCAAACATACTGTGGACTGCCAAGAGAACAAACAGGTCTCCTGGAGAGGGTGAAACCAGGTTGCTCCTTGGAGGGAAGGGTTTTGAAGCTCCATCTCCCGTACTTAGGGCATGTTGCCAGGAGGGACCAGTCCTTGGAGAAGGACATCATGCTTGGAAGGGTAGAGGGTCAGTGCAGGAGAGGAAGACACTGGGCACGGTGGAGTGACATAAGGACAATGGCAAAGGGGCCAGGTGTATCAGAGACAGTGAGATTGGCCAGGAAGGGCCAAGGTTCAGAGCTGTGGTTAACTGGGTCGCAGTGACTCCACAGCACGTCGTAACAGCAGTTACGCAGCAGGTGGTGGATGTGCTTGCTGCACGTAGGCATCATGATGGGGCAAACAAACAACGTGCGTTCGTCCACCCTGCTCGTGGGCGTGAGAGGTTGGTGATGCGCTCCTCCACTTATCCCTCAGCCTTGGGCTGTACCTTCAGTGCCAGGGATAAGCCCCACCACCTGCCAGGCTGGTGCTGCCCGCACCCGACCAAAGCTGTGGTACTCCCTGTCCCCTCCTAGGCAGATAAAAGTTGGTAATGAATAAGGAAGACCAAAGAAGAATTGATGCCTTTGAATTGTGAGGTTGGCAAGAAATATTAAATATGCCTTGGACTGTCCAAAGAACAGGCAGGTCTGTCTTAGAGAAGGTGCAGCCAGATGCAAAGATAGTCAGACTTCTCACTTTAAACATGTTACTGCAGGGGCTCATGCTGAGAGAAGGGTGCCACGTTGGCTAGAGGGTCAGAGAAGAAGCCCCTCAGTGAGACGGATTGACACAGTGACCGTATGGGTGTGCCTAGGACCCACAGAGGTGTTGAGGACCGGGCAGGACCATGGAGTCACAGAGCAGGGCCACAGGACCGCAGGGCCACAGGACAGGACCGGGCAGTAAGTCAGGCCCAATTGGAGGGCATGTAACAAAACAGACTGTCTCCAGCATGACTCCTTTGAAGGTTGGTACCCTCATCTGTCGCAGTGCCCCGTAGCCTAGGAGAGAAGCAGAAGGTCCAGGCGGTCCGGTGCAGTAGGTTTTAATTGTCGTGGAGGAGACACAGCAGAGCACACACCTTTCCACAGTCTCCACGTACAGTTCAGTGGTCCTGACTGGCCTTTAGGCTTGAGAGCCAGCCTCAGCCTCTGTTCCTGAATAATTAAGGCAGTTCAGAGGACAGAGCCAAGAACCAAGGTGTCCACTACTCCAAATCCCTGTGCCCGGTGGCACGTGCCTGCCAGTCTCCCTCCACGCCCCGGCCTGGATTGTTCTTCTATTGGTGGATGTGACCAGTGACTTCACCCAGCCCACCTTACTGTTTGCTTTTGTAAAGAAACCTCTGGGAACTCTCGTCCCATCTGTCATTGGTTTCAAGTAAGTGCGTGCTAGCATTTCATGGACTCTGGCAGCAGAGCCAAATTGCATCTTTCCAGCAAGGCGCATTCTTTCCATTCTGTACACTTTTTATGTTGCGCTGATTTACATACCTTCCCCGCTATTTGCTTATTTGATTTCCTCTAAGTAAAATACATTTCCCCCATCAATGCTGCTGTATCTAGAAAATAATAGGCTGGCTGTAATGGTAAATCACTTTCTCTCTAAATATAGAAATATTTGCAGATTTGTGGTTCAGACCAATTTGAGTATAAACTGGAAATGGCATGGTTTGGGACACAGTTATTCCTTGTGAATCGTTGGCGTAATAAACTCTCCAGTCTTCCGAATCTGAGCACATTTGCAGGCCTGTGGGTTAGGCTGTGGGGTGGCTTTGGAGCCAAACAAGCCTAAACTCGGCAGCACCCGTGCCGACGGCTGTGATGAGGGTGATAATAACTCACAGTCACAGGGCGTTTGAAACTTCTCAGAGAGCTTCCAGATGAGGCTGGGGCACATTCCATGATTTACTCAGACAACACAGAACAGTAGATGAGCAAGTGGGGGAGATCCCCTAGTGCAGAAGCGACTGAGGGCTGCTTACCTGTAAGCTCTGTCCTTCAAAGGGGCTGGGAGCCGGCACCCGCCTGCCCTCTGTCCTTGCCCGTCCACTGGACTGAAAAGTTACTTCCGTGAACAGAAGCCGGAGCACGAGAAGTGGCTTCAACAAGAGACCAGCACGTGCCGTGTGGATAGTATTTCAGAGGCTATTTTCCAGCATTAGTGAGCCCTGGTGGTGCTGTGGTTATAGCACTTGGCTGCCAGCCTCAGGGTGGTGACTGGAAGCCAGCTTTCCCTCTGCAGGAGAAAGATGGGGGCCATCTGCTTCCGGAAAGGTCTGCAGCCTCAGAAAGCTGAGAGCCAGTTCCACTGATATGGGAGTCAGAACCACTCCTCAGGGCCAGCTTGGTGGTGTCTGGTTTTTAAAAATGTGAGGCTTCTGTGAGTCTGAAAATGGTTAACAGATTTTGTTGCTAACAGAAAATTTGGAAGTTCAAATCCAACCTGAGGTACCTAGGAAGAAAAGCCTGGCAATGTGCTCCTGAGAAACCAGCTGTTAGCACACCCCGAGCACAGGTCTCTAACTCACTGAGGTCACCAAACCTCAGCTCTCCCTTGACCTGACAGCTGGCCAGCCTATCTTATTTTGAGGCTGGTCTAAGCTGGGTTCCTGCAGGGATTTCATGAATCACTCCTCACAACCCTTTGAGGTAAACACTAGTGCGCCCAGTGCACAGACAGGAAAACTGAGGCCTGCAGTAGGGAAGGTTGACCAGGTCACCCAGATGGTAGAGCTGGAGCTGTGATGTGTGGCCGGGGACCCCACCGCCTGCCTCTGCTTCCTCCTGGGAGCCGCTGGGGGACTTCTAAACCTGGGCAGCCGTAAGGGCTGAGCCCCCGGGTCCTCTCCAGTGACTCTCAGTTTTGTGGTTTCCCTGCCATTTATATGGATCCATGTGGATACGTAGGGAGCTCTGGTGGCTT